GGCTTTGTGCCGGCCGCCGGGGGTGCGCGGGCGCGGGGCGGCCTTCGCCCCTCGCCCCGGGCTGAACGCCGCGGCTCAGCCGCAAGGCGAGCTCGGGCAGCGGGCTGCGGGAAGAGGCGAGCGGCTCGACCACCCCGGACGCCGCATCCGCGGGGAAAGCTTTGGGTCGAAGCCAGCGCAGGAGGAAAGGCTGGGTTGCGCGCGCTTTGGGGGCTGTAAAAGTGAAATTCCGTCCTGCAGAGGAGGCCCGCGAATCGCCCACAGCTGCTTCAGCCCTTTCCACGGGGCCGAATTGCACGGTAAAGGCACAGTCATCAATGATTCTTTTCGCCACAAAGGGAGGACGTCAAAAGTTTAATTATAGCGCATCTTGCTCTTTAAAATCTAGAACTGAAAGAAGCAGTAGCACAAATGACGATAGGCATGTAAGCCAGTTCCGAACATTTTCATAAATTAAAATTTAGCCCTTGCAGACACAGAACATCGACAAATCCCTAGGGATCGGAGGAAGACATTTGCACCGTTTTACGGCAGAACAAAGGATCGCAGCGGGAGCTCTTCTCAGAACTATAGGGTCTGCTTCCAAAATGGGAGATAAATCACAGCGGTTTGTCTTCAGAAAAGACCTCCTCATTCTGTAGTCACAAAGGCATACATACACTTTGACATCAGAAATCTCAATACTTGCTAACTGCTAAAAAAATGGCTAAAAACTCTATTTGAAGAGATGAAGAGGATCAGTGCTTTTACAACTAAAAACCAGGAACACAGTGGAACTGTTCAACCCTGTATCAAGGTATAATGTTATTATAGTATAAGCTGGGAAGAACACAAAAAAAAAATAGGAGAATGATAATTTATTGGACAACGAGCACTAAAAAAATTGCGATTTCTTCTTTATTTCCCTGTTAGCAACCACTGTATTTAATAGTCAAGCCTTTGCATATAATTTAGATGAAACAGTGATAAAATCTGATGCTCTAGTTTACATCAGGCTCACTTCTATAAATTAATCTGCCTGCGATCCACAGATCCAAAGCAATGAAAATAACTTTTAGAAATGCACTGATAATGCCAGAAGCCTTACCTATAGTCGGGCTCCTATTCCTGGAGCTGTACCAGAGTTAGGAATTATAGGATATTTTGGATAAAAACCTTTCAAGCGTAGTTGTATGTAAGAACAAAATAGCCTTATTCACACGTCGCCTGATAACCTACACAGAAATTATTATACTAAACTGAACCTTCCCTCTCTTCAGAAGTACAGAAGACAAGCAGCTTCCGCAAGAAAGCGTAGAGTAACCTCTTCCCCTGCCATCTTTAGCATGTGTATACACACCAAGAGGAATCTCAAAACTACAGAATGTTACCGATATAGAAAAACGAAAAGATCAATTCTTACTTCAATGTGGTGGGATATTCTATCCCAGTTTTGTATTAATTCAACAATTCACTGTCTATCTAATGGTCTCAGTGTTCAAAAAATGTGTACTTCCTCTCCATTTACCCTTCCTGATATTTACTTCTATAACACTTGAACATTTCCCACAATGCATTGTAAACATGCATCCATTTATAGGACTCTACACATTTACTCATTCAGACAAAAGTCACCACAAAATACAAAAGCAGTAAATGTATTTTAAGCGTGCTGAAATCAAGATAGCTGTAAAACAGTGAGATCAGAAAAGGAACTCTAACTGGTGACGACAGTGCAAAAAAGTTGCCGCTTAAAAATATACCTATTTATGTGATACATCTACATACAGCTTTTTGTGCATAACGATATGTCTAATTGTGCTCAGATGTGTTTATTTTACACAATATGCTTCTGTTTATGTAATAAATGTTTCTATTTATGTGAAATCTTTTCTATACTATTTCCCAATTCCATACAGTTTGTTATTTCCTTGGTGCTAAATCGCCTCCTGCTTTGCCAAGCCTCTCTAACAAGAAATGATGCAGAAGGACTCTGTAGGGGCTGGGACTGATGGTGGGGAGAGAAAAGAATTCAAAACCTGCCATCATCAAAAGAGAGTATGACTGCAGTAGCCACTCTAGTTCTTGGAATTGCAAGCAAAAAAAAAAAAAAAAGAGACCATGCCAGGAAAGCCAAGCCTAAAACTTCAGAGACAAACCATTTCCCTGTTAACGAAGACTTCACAGAGAGGCAATGCGCTCACAGACACCTGCTGTAACTGGCAAGCAGAGAGCACACCTGCAATGCCATGCTCTGGTTTTGCACATTTGGCCCAGTACTCCTTGCTAGTGCACTGGTAAGCTTGTATGACATGTGACTAACCTCTGCTAATTATGACAAAATATGTTTAATCATCGTAGAAAAATGACTGGGTAAAAGTGCTGCCTTTGTTTCTCACTACATCTCTGTTTTCATTTGGCATCATTTACATCATCTACTACTACACGCTCCTCTTCCCAGCGCAGAGACAATACAGTGAAGAGCATAAGCTCGTCTCATTTGGATTCTATTTTGGCTCATACACAATCAACCCATTTTCTATTCTAGAACTATTTATTTCCAGTGATGATTCATGAGCCAGAAAGAATACCACTTGCCTATCAGATGCCAAGGAGAACTTACAGGAATGGCAATTAGAATGGTTTTTTATTGTGGTGAGTGCAGTTGATACGGAGCCTAGAGAAATTACTGAAATGCAGCCTTTCAGTGCTATTTTTGCAGTTGTTTTATAACCACACTTCAAGGTTTTTCATCTAGCTGATGAAAACAGAAGGCAGATGAAAGCAGAAAAAACACAAACAACCCAACAACCCACCTTGCCAAGTTTATGCCTAGATGGTAGACATTCCTTACTTTTGTGGATTTGCTTTTTCTACTTTATCTCATATTATGCTAAATAATAACTAACTAGTCTAAGGCTTAAAAGGAAAAAAAATGTTGGAAGAATTACTGGTGAACTTTATGCAAGGCATTAGATATATCTATAATCATCTGACAGTAAGTCACGTATTTTGCACATATGTGTGCACTATGAATAGTCCTCTTGATTTCAATGCAATCATCAACAGTATGAGAAACTAATCACACACAAGCCTGAGGGTTGCACTCTACAAGTCATTTTACATACAGCATTTATTTGTCCACCACCTAAGGCAAAGAGAAGGACTTAAGACCCTAGAATCAATAAAAATAAAAGGAAAAAGTCAAAGCTATTGAGATTTGAGCATTTATTCAAGTTCCAGCAGCTTTACCTATGCTTATTGAACTTACATTTTCGGTCTGCAAAGCTTACAAGCTTTTCTAGCTTCTATAACATAATATGATGTCTTTACATGAGCAATTCTTAACTGAGATATTCTTAACTGACTAATTTCGTAAAATGGACTTTAAGAAATACCAGTCCAAATCTTTCCACTTGACTTCAAGGAAATGCCAACTTTTAATACTTTTAAAACTACTGACCTCAGTTTGTTCCTATTTGGCTTTTATTCTGATAACAAATCAATTTATAGCTTCGAACTTCAGCATGATTTTCTGACCAGATGTGTGTTGGAGATGGAGGGATACTTTTTCCTTGGAAACACATGGCTCAGAAGGGATTACTTTAGTTTCTTCCTCACCCTTTCTAGGGAAAAAAAACCCCATCACCTTTGAACTGAAATACAAACTAGAAAATGTCAAGTAATTTTGTTTCAGAAAAATATGTATAACTGGAAAAGGCATACGTGGGTTTCTAAAATGGAATTAAACATCCAAAACTACACAGATACAGTATTATTTTAGTCTGCTGTCTTTGGCGAGACAATTGACTCACATATTTAAGTGGCACTATGCTTTTTCCGTGTTCACAGGAAAAACAGTGAGAGAAAACCAATTCTGTTAAAAATGACAGTAAAGACTATCCGAATATATCTTGTTGCAACTGGCTCAAGATTTCGTTACACAAATTTGGAAAGGTGTATCCTAACCAATCAGGTAAACATGGCTGGGTTAGATGCGCTTTTTCCCTTGTAGTGTTAAGCATCTATGGAAGTTATCCGGCACCCCTCTTTCACATGTTCATTTCATTGCTTTGCAGGTGAATGCCCAGTTCCATCCCAGCCACACAGTGCTGCGGCAGCCATGTACGGAGCAGAAGGCATGTCATGGCGTTTCAGAGCAGAGCCGGGATATAGCCTGTGCCTGACAAAAAAAGGAGGAGCTTTTTCTGTTAATTGAAATCACTTTTCTGGGCACCAAATGACCAAAAGTAACAAGGCTTCTGTTCATTTAGCAACTGCAACTACTCCTGTTCAGCTATGGGGACATAAAATTAACCTTAATTTGACAGACACAGGGTTACAAAATGGCAAAAACGGTACCTAGAGAGTCAGAAAAAGCTGTCATCTTTAACCTTACAAATTCACACCTTGCTTTTCACGGGCAAGAAAGCCAGTTTCATTCGCAGGAGCAGTGAAGGCAGAGGTAGTTCCCAGGAGCTATGCGCTGAAAACCTTCCCAAGGGG